CTTCAGAAGAATCTCAAGTAACCATATATGACATGAGGAACAGCATGTATGTATCTGTATATATGGCTTTCTTTATCGATTTATTTATTAATATGCATGTAGTTATTTATTTACGCACGTAAGTGTCCGTCTGTGAATGTATTTATTTGGTTATTTACGTATGTGTAGGTATGTATCTATGCACGCAGTTATTGAGTTATGAAGTTACGTATGCATGTGTCCATGTATGCAGAAATCATTCTCATTTATTTATATTATTTATTTATACATGCATATATGCCGGAAATATAACACATGGTAGAACAACGAGTTGGTTTTAACACTTCATACCTTCCACCAACAGCGAAATCCGCAATTGCGTAGTAGTACGAACGCAGGACACCGTCGTCTCGAAATACCTCGTCACCGAACGTGTTCAGTCGATTCAATGAAACCATAATTTCCGAAGCTGTCACCCATTCCTTCAAAAATTAAAGCCTTAGAAAAATAACAGTGTGCAGCGGTGATTTTCAAAGTGTTTTCAACATGCCTCAAGTAAAACTTTCGCTTAAAATTCGATTGGTTCGTGGCTTTAGCTTTCAGAAGAAATTCATAAAATTAAACAACCCGAGTACACGCATTCAGGGTTGAAAAACAAACTTATACCCTCAGTTGGCAAACCGGATAGTTTACCAAAGAACGGCAGAATTATTCAAATTCAGAAAATAAATACTAAGCGGGAAAGATCACAACAATTTTCAATTATTTCAAGACACTCTCTCATCATATCTCCGCATTCACGGTGTATGATAAGAACTATCCGCGGTATTACAGCTTTCGTATCCAACTACCAGTTTTTGATATTTACTGTACATCCCCACGGACCGACGTATATCCGCCAGTCGTATTCGAACATGTTCTAATTAAACTTAACAACAGGAGGACGTTTTGCTCCTATGCAATACAGTTGCAAAAACTGCTACGGTGGGTGAATGAGAATACGGATAAATGACAGACGATTCTTACTTTTGTCGGAGATACCAGAAAGTAGTAGTTTACTAGAAAATTCATTACACCTTATTATTTCTTTATTTTAACAAGCCGGTGCAATATTTGTGAAACAATTAACTAAGATGAAAAACTACAGACTGATCAGTTTCTTGTCAAACATTTACAAAATCTCCAAGATTAAGTGCTGGATTTAGTACTATCTTTAGATTTCAATTAAATGAAGATGCCGCCCAGCCAAAGGAGCAAACATGATTCATAAGTAAATGCAGTACGATGGTTCATCTTCAAGTGGTCCAACAAGTAATTCAGAGGGGCTACGAATATTAGCTTCCTCTCTTGGTTAATTTTAAGAAAATTTTCCACTTAGCCTACATCGGTTCTGCACTGCATTCCTTCAGGAGTCAGCGGTCGAGAAAATAGGCAAATCTCCTCCAGTTAATTTCAAGCATGCGACTGTTAGTGTGAAGCTTTACGAAAGCACAAGTTCAAAATTGAACAGAGGGTCTGATAGAGAGACGCAATGTTATCGAAGTTGCTCACAGGTGCTATAGAAGAAGTTTTAAAGACACTCATTTGGAAAAATCAGGGGCTGAACAATTTGACAGTTCTTGAGCACCTGCGGTTTGCCTGTGGCATTCAGATCCTCTCAAGGCTGCCAGAAGAACGAAAAAGAAGAATCTAACAGTTGAACGTCTTCTGTATCAAAATAGGACAAAAACAGAACGCATCTGGTATGGAGAACCGATTATGCGAAATCAACAGAACTGAAAGATGGTATGTAGCAATTTTGGAAAACTGAAAATGTTCCAGTATAGAAAACTGCCTTACGGGTGCGAAACTTAGGTCTTAAGCCTGAAAACTAATCATAAGCTACCGACTACGCAACTCTGCGTGGACAGATGTTATGCCAGGATTAGAAAAAAGCAACGAAAACGAATGAATGAGTAGGAACATAAGTTAGTCACGAATGTCACTGATCAGGTGAAGAAGTAAAGTAACAATGGACACGAACGTGTTGCAAAAATAACCGATCAACGCTGGATCAGAGAGATATTAGATTGTGTTCCAAGAGAGAGTAAACGGGGGATCGTAGGAAAACTTCAGATCGATGGCAAGATGAGCTGAATCAAGACGGATGAAATGACAGATAACAGGTTTGTAGCAAAGTTCTGGAGATGTCTCCATCAAGTATCAGATCGACAGAAGCTGGTGATGATGCTCTAGTTTATAAGGGAACTTTCGCTGCAGCTCCATGCTCTTACCAGGGTAGTGACATAACATGGATTTACGAGCATGGGTTTCCGACAATGAGGAACAATAACAGTGTGGGAGGAGCACACGCATAGAATCCGGATAGAACCTGAAAGCTGGAAATCCATGAAAAGAAGATCGGTAGTCCGAAGATGACAGATAGAAGCTATAGATTCTGCACCTTGAATTCATACTTGACATTCAAGTCAAGATATTGTCGTGTATCCTGTGACAAATAACCATGTAACCCTTTAACTCTACACCAGCTGCGGTAATGGACCTCGAACTCAAAACACCAGAACGATGGGCTGCTGCAATATCTTCTTTCAAAACGTTGTCCGTTAAGTAAGCAAAATATTAAGAAAAACTCCTTATGGCTCTAAATCTTGTTGGCAATTATCATCTTTAATTTTTAATTATTACAGAGAATCAGTGTACAGAAAGATACATCACGAATATATAAACAGTTGCAACTTCTAGCTAAAAGGTTCGAATAATTACAAAACTTGGATACAGACCTGCAAAACAGGTGAACTTTCGAAACGATGGGCACTGGGACGACCTTCCAACGTCGAAAAGGCGACATTTCCTCCGGTAAGAGGCGAAATGTCTGCGTAGTCAGAAGAACACTGGGCGACGGTTTCGGCAGTCGGAAGTATCGGCGCCTTGTCTGCAAGTCCATAGGTACTTCGGCAAGTTGCGCTGAAAAACATCTTGTTAACTTTCATAAGAATAACTCAAGTATCAACATCAACTCAGAGAAAAATGAATCTGAAGAGATGACGGAGTTACCCTGTAAGGAGGAGCTTGTTGTTAAATCACGCGGAAGGCACATAAGGGACTGCAGACCGCGTAACCATATTACACTGACCATTATGTGCCTCGAACAACTTGAGACCCAGTTCATAAAATTTATCTGATTGGTGGAAAGCGACTGAGTTGGAAAGAATTGCAAAAGTTGCTACCTCCACAATCGCAAAGCAATAGTGAGCTTCGAAACTGTACCAACAAAATAAAATGAAATACTATTAACGGCATTTGAGCTTGAACATTCATTTATTCAACCCACCTACGAAACGCAGTCATGGGCCCCATGCAATGAGAACGTTTAAATACCATGGAGTTCTGGTCAGCTGAATAAGGTCCCCTAGACGTCTAGAAGCAACCGAGCGGTTCAATAGCACGGTACTACCAAGAGCAACATTTAAATCAGTCTTACACTACCACAGTGTCGATGAAAATCACCATCTTCATCTACCATGGCCGCAGACGCGTCACACAGTTCTTCCAATATTCCTAATCTTCTGGCAGAGTCTCAGCTTTGACAAAAGGCAACTGGAGTCTCGAACACACTCCTTCCATATATTTGCACCAGGTCAAACATGGCCGTCCACTGGGCCATCTGTCGGCCGATTTGGTAAGAAACAGTAGCACAGACTTTATTTCTGGAGGCATTTGCAACAGATGCCCAAACCATCGCAGCTATGACTTCTCACTCTGGAGCAACAGAGGCTGTACATCAAGGCTCTCCCGAATGTCAGTATTTTGGACAATGTCGAGACGCGTGCAGCCAGCAACTCGTCTCAGAAAGCCCATTTTAACAGTTTACACCGAGGTTCGAAGCTCTTCAGCTACGACTCATGACTGCAGGTAAGCATGGGGATAAAGATCGAGTTGAAAACGAAGAGCTTCGTTTTCAGACAGGGCTCTGCTTTAGTCACAATGGATCGGGAAAATTCCTGCAGAACGCCACTGGTTACTAAAATTCGCCGGTCGATCTATCCCTCCAATTTTCCGTCACTAGTAAATACGACTCAGAGATACCTCAATTTCCCCACCTGCTTTATTGCCTCTCCATTAATCTGAAGAGTACAACGGACAGGAGAAGGAGAAAGCACTAGATTTATCGTTTT